ATTGAAAAGACTTCCAGTAGCATATAAAGAGCTACAGTTTATTAATAATCCCTTCAGATGCTTAGCGAGAGTTTAGTATTGGTGCAATGCATTTATGTGGAATGAGTAAGTTTCCAATTCCCTGAGTGATGCTTTACATTTTAAAAGGCATAACCTGAGAAAACAAAGAGAAAGTGTTTTCTAAGGATAATGTTGACCTTAATATCAAATTCTTATGAGATATATGTGCATTTTTCTGTTGAACCAAAGCTACTCTTCTCAGGGACCACAATTAGAATACAGTCCTAGTTATCTAATGCAGGCTGCTTATAGGAAAAGTAATTTCATTTTTAATTCATACATTCAACTCTTAGGCTATGTGTTTTGTCCGAAGAGGCAATTCAAATGAAGGACTGATTAGTATTTTCTCATACTTAATTTGCATAATCTATTCCTATCTGTTTTTGCACAAGAGGTTTTTGCACTAAAGCATGGAGTGTGGACATGTGGAGGCAAAAGGATCTTGCGCAAAAAGGGGTTTTTGCACAAAACGAACATGTCCACGCTGCATGTTTTTGTGCCAAAATGGATCGGGATAAGTTATGTAAATGAAGCATGAGAAAATGCTAATCAGCGCTTCATTTGCATTGCCTCTTGCAACAAAACACATAGTGTAGACATAGCCCTAGAGGGACCAAGTCTGACTCATATTCAGCTTGTGGTCCACTATAACCCCTAGATCTCTTTCTGCCATACTCCTTCCTAGACAGTCACTTCCCATTCTGTATGTGTGAAACGGATTGTTCCTTCCTAAGTGGAGCACTTTGCATTTGTCTTTATTAAACTTCATCCTGTTTACCTCTGACCATTTCTCCAATTTGTCCAGATCATTTTGAATTATGACCCTCTCCTCCAGAGCAGTCACAACCCCTCCTAGCTTGGTATCATCTGCAAACTTAATAAGCGTACTTTCTATGCCAATATCTAAATCGTTGATGAAGATATTGAACAGAGCCAGTCCCAAAACAAACCCCTGCGGAACCCCACTTGTTATACCTTTAATATATAGGATTGTGAACCATTAATAACTACTCTCTGAGTACGGTTATCCAGCTAGTTATGCACCCATCCAGAATGGGGTAGTAGTCAGAGGGCCGGATAATCCTCGACAATGCCTCCGTAACATCTTGGATACGGGCCCCCGGCAGACAGCATACCTCCCGAGATGAAATGTTAGGGCGACAGATGGGCGCCTCTGTCCCCCTCAGAAGAGTCTCCGACCACCACTACCCTACGTTTCCTATTCGCAGTGGTGGCAGCAGACCTCCCAGCCTTGGGGGGTACAAGGCTTCTCCTCTTCTGTTGTAGGGGGTGATTCCTTATCTCCTGTATAAAGAAGTACCACGGTGGGAAGGTTCAGAGCAGGGGTGGAGCAGTGCCTGCTGCCATAAGTAACCAGCTACTGGTGTCCACCCTGAGCCGTCTCCTCCTCCATCAGTGGTGTCATATTGATATCAGAGGCAAATCCTTAACTCAGTTCTGATTCAAGCAAAGCTTTTCCAAGTAAAGTATTTGGGAGATTTGCCCAAGTTTGACTTAAGAATTTGGCTCATACAGTAACAACTGTTTATTGCAACATTCTGTAAATAACTTATCTACCCAGACGCAGCATTAAAGGGAGCCTTGTAGACATGGGAATATGTCTACTGTGCATGCTCAGTATGCAGTCTTCAAATTGGTCACATCTTTATTTAATCAAAATTCATTTCTTTTCACAATTGTCAAAGGTTCTGTGTCTGTCTCCCATCTGGGGGACATGCACCCCCTTCCTCTAGCTGTGCCCACTGCAGCAGCCATGGACAGGTGCTTCTCACCCCAAGTCTGGTGACAAAGGGGCTATGTCTACACTACAGACTTTTTTCGGAAAAACAGCTGTTTTTCAAAAAAACCTTCACTTACGACCACACTACAATCTCATTCTTTGGAGGAAAAAATTGAAAGAACAGAGGGTTTTTTCCGACATTGGTAAACCTCTTTCTACAAAGAAGAAGCCTTTTTCTGAAAGAGCTCTTTCGGAAAAAGGCGTGTGTGGACGGGGAAGAGGGAGTTCCTTCTCAAGAAGAGGAAAGAGGAAAAAGCACAGGTGCCCTGGTGGCCACTCCATCCATAGTAATCACAGCGTACATGTGAGATAGCGTTCATTCAGTGTAGACGCTATGTTTTGAAAAAGCAGATCGCTTTTTCAATGCGCTTTTGCAGTGTGGATGCTATCTTTCAGAAGAAATTTTTTTGGAAGATCTCTTCCAGAAAAGCTTCTTCCAAAAGAAGCCTGAAGTCTAGACATAGCCAGGGCTATGGTTGGCCTCTCTCCCCGAGGCAGCCTGCATACTGAACTGCTCGTCCCCAACCCCACTCCAGAACAATGATTTAAATGAAGGAAAACTTCAGCGCAATGCCAAGTAAATCTTCTAGTAATAGCATACATAGCTATATTCTTATTTTACTATTTCCAGTTATCTTTCATCCTGTGAACTAACAACACTGGGGGTGTGTCTAGACTACCTAGTTTTGTCGACAAAAGTGGACTTTTGTCGACAAAACTATACCAGCGTCTACACCACCGCTGAGTTCTGTCGACATAATGTCGACAGAACTCAGCAGTTTTGTCGACGCTGGTATACCTCATTTTACGAGGCATAACACCTTCTGTCGACAGAACTCTGTCGACAGAAGGTGTTATTGCCTGTAACACTGCGTCCAGACTACGGAGTTCTGTCGACAAAGCAGCTTGCTTTGTCGACAGAACTCAATGTGTCTGGACGCTCTTTGTCGACGGAAGTTTTGTCGACAAAACTTCTGTCGACAAAACGCGGTAGTCTAGACGTACCCTAGGTGACTGGTAATAGGTTATGTTATGGATTCTTTCAATGCTATGTCAATGATTTAAGTACATCTAGAACTAGTACTGACAGGTAACATTATTGTATTAGTTGTTTGGTGGCTGTTCAATTATGTAAGTAAAATGAGTAGGTGATTTCAGTCCAGTTTCTATTTAACAGGTGTCCAAGTCACACTAATTGGCATCTGATAAATGCTTATCGGATAGTCAGTCGACTAGTCGATTTCCACCCCCCTCTATCAGATAGAGGCAGCAAAGGGGGAAGAAGAAGGGGTGCTTCAAAGTGGCAGTGCCTCACAGGTGAGCCAGAGATCAGATGTGCGGTGCTGCCGCTTTGAAATCCCAAGTAGTGTTTCAAAGGGGCAGCCGCCACACAGCTGATCCCTGGCTCAGCTGTGCGGTGCTGCCCCTTTAAAATGCAGCCTCGGCGTTTCAAAGGGGCAGCACTCCACAGCTGAGCCCGGGATCAGCTGTGTGGTGCTGCCCCTTTGAAACGCGGAAGTGGCATTCAAAGAGGCAATGCTGTGGAGCCCGTGATCAACTGGGGAGTCCCCAACTGACCCTGGGCTCCAAGAGGGTGCTGTGGCTTTGAAATGCACAAGAGCCCCCACTGGGGATTCTTGTGCATTTCAAAGAAGGTCCGCTCGCATGCAGCCCGGAGTCAGCGGGACTTCCCGCTGGCCCTGGGCTGCACGTGGAGTTCTGCATTTTTCCTTTGAAATGTACGAGAGCCCCAGCGAGAAAAAGAGAAATACAGAAGTGCCTATCGACTAGTAAATTAACCACAATTTAACATCCTTACTTCAGACCACAACTCAACTATGCTAACAGGGTAAAGTATAGGTAAGCTTGCTGTGTTATACCAAATAGAAGCAAGCAGGATCTTATGAGGGGGATAAGGCAAAAACCCACATTTATTGTAAAGATAATAATAAAAAAATAAAGAAAAGATAGAAGCAAATAACATTGTTTAACTACTTAACCCTTATACATATAAACATTCATTCATCCATTCTTCAGGTTCTGTGTATTTGTTATAGTTACCAGCCTGGAAGTTGCTTGTGACAGGATACTGGCCAGGTATTCTGTACACAAGTGATGGTAGTGGGGAGCGAAGTCCTGATCAGATGCGCATCTGAAGCTCCTGGTAGGCTGGCAGCAGAACCTTGGACTCTGATTCCATAGTTTTTTAGTCCAGTTCTTATAGGAATTTCTTCCTATGCCAGTCTATGGAAATTGCTGTATCATGCTGATGTCTCCAGGGTGGCTGCCAGGTGCTCATCAGTGATCTCATCGGGTGGACCTCCAGTTTCTCCACTTGACACCTTTTGGTTGCACTGGCACCTGACGCCTTCTTCAGCCCTTTGTTGCTGTATTCTCAGGCTGGCACCTCTCAGAACCATTCACTCATCATCCAAGCACTCTCTCATACATTCATACAGTATTTTGTATAATAATAAAAGTTGTAGTTACAGAAAGTTTCTGGGTGGTATTGCTTAAAACATTCTCTGAGTGCTGAATAAAGTTACAATGTTTTAAAGAGAACAGGCCTCAATTAAGTAACAATGGCCTTAGTCAATTACAGGGCTTGGCTCCCATAGCAGAGTTAGTGGCTTGACAATGCATTGTTACAATGTATCTCTGCAATGTCAATTGCAAGCAGCCCCTTGATTATATTTTTAACAGTTCTAAGTTACATGACCTAATACATTATATTCTAAAGGGACAATAATAATCATAAATCTAAACATTTAACAATCTTAACAAATAATAATAATAAGAAGAAGAATCTTAATAAATCTAATTTTCAATACATTAATATGTTATCCCTACAGCTGTGCCACTACCAGGTGTTATACTTACTTTGTGAGTAAGAGGAACTGCAGTTGCTGTCAATCTGGATCTTGTCTGTAACACCAATACATGCATTTTATTGTATTTATAAATTAAATCTGCTCTGAATACCTTTCCCATATGGAAAGGCTGTAGTATTGTGTAGTACAGTAGAAGACAGATGATCCTTGTGTGGGGTTCAAGCCAATGTGTCAGAAACAGTATTCTTCCACATTCTATTCATTAGTGACTTCAGGGATATTTATTCATCTTATATGTTCTGTTCCAGTGATCCATCATTTTTCAACAAAGGAACGGCGTGTGCGAGCAATAAAGGAGATGGCTCGCATCTTGAGAGTAAGAGGCCAGATAATGATATATGTGTGGGCAATGGAGCAGAAACGGCGAAAATTTGAGAAGCAGGATGTCTTTGTTCCTTGGAATCCTTCACCACCTTCCTGGACCTTGGGTAATACTTGTTCACGTGGAATACAGAAATCAATTAATCAGAAGGACAAAAGGCTGGCTTTGGACCCACACTCCACGAAGTTAGCTGGTGTTTTGCAAGCACACAGGAAAGCAAGAAGCTCATCCTTTGTGTGGATGAAGGAAAGCACTTACAACTCATCTGAAAAATCCCTGAGATGGTCTCTCTTTTCAAGATCACTTGATTCACTCTTACACTTGCATAATCATTGGCACCAAAGAGAGCTTTGCACATTTTCCAATTGCAATATTCAGTTGGATGAATTAAAGAGGGAAAAGCTTTTTGAACAAATCCAGCAAGGGGGCTTCATGAAGCATATTTGCAACTTGTCTTTTCCGTGCAGGCAGAATTCTGAAGAAAATGCATCTGAAATAGCTGTAAAACCAGGGTCACCTGTGATATTTCACCCCGTGCCTTTCAAAAAATATTATTCGGAATTAGACCAGGATAATAAGCAATCCCCAATGTCTGCAGCTATAATTAATGAATGCAGCAGAGTGTGTTTACCTGACCTGGTTTCCCATCAAAAAGCTGTCAAACAGCAACTTGAAATAGATTATCACCCAAAACAAGCATCTTTCCACAAACTCCAAAACAGAACCAAAACAGACAGTTCTCTACAGGGTGTCAACAGTGATTGTTCTGTGTCCACATGGAACAAACAACTGCAAAGGAGCCCTAATGGGGCTTGTCTTAGGTACTACCATGTTTTTAAAGAAGGGGAATTGGTGGAACTGATAGAAAATCATATACCTGAGCTACATGTTATTCATTCATACTTTGACCACGCAAATTGGTGTGTGATTGCAGAAAAGATTCAAGTGCAGAAGATCTAGGGGAAGATTATCAAAGGCACAGGTGCCTAACTGCCTTTGAAAGTCAATGGGAGTTCATTGCTTGGTGCTTGTGAAACTGTCCCCCAAGCTTTTTATCCCCATCTTGTGCTTGATTCTCTCTGTGACTTTGCTTCTTTTGTCCTATATGTGACTGTCATGGTCATATAGCTTTTTAAAATCATTTTATAGAAACATTTCTTTCTATAATTGTAATTTCAGGTAGAATGCATTTTCAGGGACTTTTCCATGGCTTTTTAACAATAGCTGTCGGTTTTGATTTTTGGTGTTTGAGTGGTTAAAATACATTTAAATGTTTTCCCTGTTGGGATGTTTTTATATGAATATTAAAGATGTTTGTTATTCACTTCTCATAATAATTTATTCTTTAGTATCTTCTTGTATTTAAAATGTATTGTGCATTGGGAATTGGAGTAATATAAGGCTGATGGTACTTGAGAAGGATTCATTATTTTATTACAGTCTGCCATCATTCTATATGATACCTCAAGACACAGTAGAGAGACAGTCCTTTTAAAAGTAGTACCGGGTGTATATATAACCCAAGTATTAGAGACAATAGCTGGAATAGACATACTGTCAAATAAGTTTAACATAGCTCATCTGTTGCCCCTGTTACAGTCAAAAATACAGTGGACCTATTCAAGGGTATATCACAACATAACTTCCTCTCCCCAATAAATCTTAAAGCTGTGTATTTCTCTGAGGTTGACATATATATTCAAACTGAAAATCAGAACATAAGAATGGCCGTATTGGGTCAGAACAAAGGTCCATCTAGCCCAGTAGCCTGTCTGCCGACAGTGGCCAGCACCAGGTGCCCCAGAGGAGGTGGACCGAAGACAATGATCAAGCGATTTGTCTCGTGCCATCCATCTCCAGCCTCTGACAAACAGAGGCTAGGGACACCAATTCTATCCCCTGGCTAATATCCTTTTATGGACCTAACCTCCATGAAATTATCTAGCTTCTCTTCAAACTCTGTTATAGTCCTAGCCTTCACAGCCTCCTCTGGCAAGGAGTTCCACAGGTTGACTATGCATGTGTGAAGAAGAACTTTCTTTTATTAGTTTTAAACCTGCTACCCATTAATTTCATTTGGTGTCCTCTAGTTCTTCTATTATGGGAACTAATAAATAACTTTTCTTTATTCACCCTCTCCACACCACTCATGATTTTATATACCTCTATTATATCCCCCGTCAGTCTTCTCTTTTCTAAACTGAAAAGTCCCAGTCTCTTTAGCCTCTCTTCATATGGGACCCGTTACAAACCCCTAATCATTTTAGTTGCCCTTTTCTGAACCCTTTCCAAGGCCAAAATATCTTTTTTGAAGTGAGGAGACCACATCTTGAATACTGTGTACTGATGTGGGCGTACCATAGTTTTATACAGGGGCAGTAAGATATTCTGCGTCTTATTTTCTATCCCTTTCTTAATAATTCCTAACATCCTATTTGCCTTTTTGACTGCCGCTGCACACTGTGTGGAAGTTTTCAGAGAACTATCCACGATAACTCCAAAATCTCTTTCCTGATTTGTTGTAG